GGGGTGGCGAAACACCCCACTGCACTACCCCAGGGTTTAGGACCAAGTTCCATGGAAATATCCAAAATTTACAACTTTTTTTACAACGATCACTCTCACTGAACTATAAAAATTTCTGACTTTGTTACACCTACTATTACCAAGAAATTAGTCCCCACTGTACTCGGCTAGAGATTGCTTCGGTTAAGCTTATGTATAACAGTGTATTCCGTTGTTCAGCGGAGCGCTTGCTAGCGGATGTGTGAAATATTTAACTTCCTGCTGACGTGTTAGAAGGAACACAACAGCTAGCATTCCGCTAATTAAAATGGATGACATTTTCACTGAAATCTGTTCTAAATGTTTTAAGTATTTGTTCTGAATCTGTCGTAAATCCAAACTCAAGGTTTTTCAGAAATGACTATGATGAACCAGAAGACTCATCATTAATAGCAGCCATCAATTCTAATGAAGAATATAGGGAAGAAAGATATAAAATATCTGGCTACGTGCATGACATCGTGCCAAAATACAGCGACGATGTTTTCAAAAGTCACTTTCGTCTAACAAGAAGCACCATGGAGGTGAGTGACAAAAGATATATTTATTTTGGCTTAATTTTAATCTAATAATGATAATTTTTTAAAATATTTTAACTGTCTCTGTATCTCACATTTACACTCAATTTGAAAACAGGTGTTAGTGAATTGATTAAAAAATAACCAAAAATGTTAAAATACCACCATTCAAATGAATATTTAAATGGTGGTATTTGACTGCATAACAAAACAATTTGTTTTCTGAAACTTTTTCCCACTTTATTAACATTTTATAAAGTTTGGCAAATTTATTAAGGGGAAATTTTAATATAATTTATACTTTTGTGCATGGATTATACATGATTTGTTGGGCTCCCATTTCAAATAATTATAGACCTATATAATTAATGGATTTTTTTCTTTCATTTTTCAAAGCCATAAAGTTTTACAGTTGTGGATGAATAGCAAGATAAATTACTTTTATTTAATAAAACATTTTAGGTTTATGTAGAGAAGTGATAATTCTTTTTTCTTTTAATTTTACACTCGGTGATTATAAAATATATTACTGTTAATTAGAAAAAATAACTAGTTAAAAAGTTTTAAGAATTTTGTTTTGTTAATGTGCCATACTGTAAGGAACTGTGAGGGTCAGGGAATCCTGTACTGTACATATTTCATACTGTTTTAAATTTTATAGATTTACATACTAACTTTTGCATTATTTTTTTCAGATTTTGCTATCTATGCTGCCACAGGAACCAGCAAGGAGAAAAGCACGAATTCCTAAGGAAACATCTGTTTTATTTTCTCTGTGGTTTATGGGGAACCAGGAGAGCTACCGTGGTGTATGTGATCGCTTCGGGTTAGGATTTGCTAGTGGCCACAGAGAATTTACAAAATTCTGTACATCAATCTGTGCCTTGTCAAACTCAATCATTAAGATGCCACAGGGTTTTGAGATTGAGAGAATAAGACAAGGATTTCAGAAACTTAGAGTGAAACCATTTCCAGGAACAATCGGTTGCATCGATGGCACTCATATTGCCTTTTCTGTGAGTAAAGAAGAAAAAAATGATCATATAAATAGAAAAGGTTATCCTAGTGTAGTCCTACAGGCTGTATGTGATCATGAGTTAAAATTTTTGGATGTTTATGCAGGTTGGCCAGGCTCTGCAAATGATGCTAGAGTTTTTAGGAACAGTCCATTATTTAAAAATATGGAAGAGAAAGAGGATTTTATACCTTCAGACTGCCATATTCTTGGTGACTGTGCCTACCCATTAAATAATAAAATAATGACACCATATAGAAACAATGGCCATTTAACAAGAAAGCAGAAGTTATTCAATACAATTCTGAGTTCTACACGAGTCGTAATAGAACAAGCTTTTGCACATCTGTTTGGACGATTTCGGAAGCTAATTTATATCTATGTACGAAGAAGGGAATTTGTTCCAGATGTGATTGTAGCTGCCTGTGTTCTACATAACCTATGTATTATGCATAATGATATTACACCTGGTATATATGATCAACTGGATTTACTTTCTTGCCACAGTACAGAACAGTTTGATGCAGGTATTAATAAAAATGTCAGTGGGGCACATAAAAGGGATCAAATTGCAGATTACCTTTTTAATTTAGAGTGTGCATAACATCTTTATACTGCAAGTCATGACAAAAATAATAATCTTATTTATCTGAATAAATATAAACTATAACAATTGTTATAAAACATTTAATCCATTTTTTGGTTAAATTGTTTTAAGAATTAGCTAAATTTTTGTGTATTGATTTATTAATAACACTTATGATCTACTTGCAGTAAATTAAATTCACATTATTCTCTTAAGAAAAAAATGTACAAATAATTCATGTCAACATTTAGTTTTAAGCAAAAACACATCGCAAATAAAAATTTTATTAACTTGAATTTGTTTTTTGTACATTTTGTAATAATTCAACCAGCTTTTCCAAAACCTGTACTTTCCTAGTCTCCAATTCTTTATGTTCCTGCCATCTTTCGTCTTCTTTCTTCTCTCTCTCCTCTCTCTTCCTATCCCTGCGTTTCATATCTTCAACATACCACAATGGTGGCTCATTCCGACTTCTTTTTCTACTTTTAATTAATTCACTTTTATCTTTTTTTTTCAGAATAGCTGTACAATCATTTCAGGTAAATCCAACTCCACGGGAGCTGGATTTACCTGAACTGTCGAATTTTCAGTACTTATAATGCTGACACGATCTCTGTTTTGGGCACAAGTAATTTCAGTTAGCACCTCTTGAGTACATTCATTCATAAAATTGCTGCTTTTGGAATTAATTTTTGAAAAAGATTTCATGTAATTAATTGGCGGATTGGTGTTATTATTCCTACCAAAAGTTTCATGCAATTCTTTAAAATATTCCCATCTTATTTTGCCTTCTCCAGATGTTTTGTTCTTATCAACATTTTTTCGGTATGTAATCATGAGATTTCTCCACTTGTGATCGCATTCTGAACTTGTAAATGCAAAACCCTCTTTGGATAACTTATCTGCTATTTTAGCCCAAAGCTTTGTTTTGACTACAGGTTTTTGAAAGNAGATTTCTCCACTTGTGATCGCATTCTGAACTTGTAAATGCAAAACCCTCTTTGGATAACTTATCTGCTATTTTAGCCCAAAGCTTTGTTTTGACTAGAGGTTTTTGAAAGTTTTCTTCTAAATCTATTCTACTTGCTATGTACAGTTTTACTGCTGCATGGGTCCATTCTGCTACAAGCAAAATTTAAATTAATTTTTAAGATCTGTTACTTTGGTAAATATTTGAAATCATGTATACACATCACAATTACCTTTACTTTTATTATGTATGCTTTTTGAAGGATCTGGAGAGCCGACCACAACAGGGTTTTCTTGAAGTTCAGTATGGTTGTCATCAATAATGAGAATTTGTTCTCCACATTCTAAACACAATGTCATACAATTTTATTATACTTGCATACAGGTTATCAATTAATTATTTTTCAGATTAAATGCACTTACCAAAAGTTCCATTATTTTCAGAAAATACTTTCCATAACTTTATTTGTCTCCAATTCAGAATATCTGTGCCTTCAGGTAAGCCTAAGTCAGCAGCACTGAATGTCTTCTGAAGTTCTTTAAAATAATTTTTGATATTGGGTGCTGTTCCTAATGAAAATATGAAGCATTTACTAGTTTTAAAACAAAATTATACTCATTAAATAATTAATTACTGATAATTACCTAATATTTTATAATGCCATAGATTGCATTATAAAATATAGGTAATAAAATATACAGTATAAAATGGTTTACTGAAAGTTTCGACATGTGGGTTATATAATGCTATTTATAAAATCTTTTGACGATCAAGTAGCCTACAAAGAAAGATCGGTCGTCAAAAAAGTTTGTATTCTGGAACACAAAGTGAATAAATGGTGTTTTCCTTAAAATTTATTTTTATATAATTACCATTCGACGAAATTCTACAATTGCTAATTATTATATTACTTGATATCTAAAATCAAGATACAAATAAGTAAGAAATTCAGTCAACGTATCTGATATACGAAGACGAAAAGAGACAATTACGCCTATGAAACTCATTCAGCTACACAAAAGTTAAAAATATATTTATTTTTTTACCTGTTCGAAAACTTTCATAAGTTTTTTCATCAATATTTAAAAGAAAATTTCGATTATTTAGTTCAATTAAAACAGTCAAACATGGTGCCGCCATCTTCGCTCGTTGTCTTAGCAAACAGCTAGCGCTTCTCAACCTCGCTAACGAAATTTTGTAAGCGTTTTGAGATGGCGCTGCAAGCGAGCTAAAATATGGAATGAGTTTTAGCACTGCGCTGACATCTTGCTGACGTTTCGCTGAATAACGGAATACGTGGATATAAACACAGTGTTTGCAACATCCGTGCCATAAAGTCACTAGCGAGGTTGAGGCCGATTGTAGCTGCCTGTGTTCTACATAACCTATGTATTATGCATAATGATATTACACCTGGTATATATGATCAACTGGATTTACTTTCTTGCCACAGTACAGAACAGTTTGATGCAGGTATTAATAAAAATGTCAGTGGGGCACATAAAAGGGATCAAATTGCAGATTACCTTTTTAATTTAGAGTGTGCATAACATCTTTATACTGCAAGTCATGACAAAAATAATAATCTTATTTATTTGAATAAATATAAAATATAACAATTGTTATAAAACATTTAATCCATTTTTTGGTTAAATTGTTTTAAGAATTAGCTAAATTTTTGTGTATTGATTTATTAATAACACTTATGATCTACTTGCAGTAAATTAAATTCACATTATTCTCTTAAGAAAAAAATGTACAAATAATTCATGTCAACATTTAGTTTTAAGCAAAAACACATCGCAAATAAAAATTTTATTAACTTGAATTTGTTTTTTGTACATTTTGTAATAATTCAACCAGCTTTTCCAAAACCTGTACTTTCCTAGTCTCCAATTCTTTATGTTCCTGCCATCTTTCGTCTTCTTTCTTCTCTCTCTCCTCTCTCTTCCTATCCCTGCGTTTCATATCTTCAACATACCACAATGGTGGCTCATTCCGACTTCTTTTTCTACTTTTAATTAATTCATTTTTATCTTTTTTTTTCTGAATAGCTGTACATTCATTTTCTTTATTTAACTGTGTACAAGAGGTTTCAGCGGCCACAGGAACTGGATTTACCTGAACTGTCGAATTTTCAGTACTTATAATGCTGACACGATCTCTGTTTTGGGCACAAGTAATTTCAGTTAGCACCTCTTGAGTACATTCATTCATACGATTGCTGCTTTTGGAATTAATTTTTGAAGATGATTTCATGTAATTAATTGGCGGATTGGTGTTAATATTCCTACCAAAAGTTTCATGCAATTCTTTAAAATATTCCCATCTAATTTTGCCTTCTCCAGATGTTTTGCTCTTATCAACATTTTTTCGGTATGTAATCATGAGATTTCTCCACTTGTGATCGCATTCTGAACTTGTAAATGCAAAACCCTCTTTGGATAACTTATCAGCTATTTTAGCCCAAAGCTTTGTTTTGACTACAGGTTTTTGAAAGTCTTCTTCTAAATCTATTCTACTTGCTATTAACAGTTTTACTGCTGCATGGGTCCATTCTGCTACAAGCAAAATTTAAATTAATTTTTAAGATCTGTTACTTTGGTAAATA